CGTCGTCTGCCTGGACCCTGACCTTCTTCAGATTTGTGTCGTAGGCGAAGGGTGTTATGACTGGGATAACGCCGTCGTCGATGGGCGGAAGTAGCAGGTAATTGTGCTGTACCACTACACCTCCCCGTACCTGGACGGTACTGGGTATGTCGTTGGCCAGTGGGGAGTAGCCCAAAGCATCTTCGACCAACAGAGCTCCTGGCTCGTTGTAGTCTTCCAACGCTGCAACTAAGCGCAATGCTTGCTCCCTGACCATGTTTCCGTATTCCAACGTCAAGTCCGTGGTGTGCGCATCGGCATCGTGATCGCAATCGAGCACTACAGCAGTGCTAAGCCCCAGCTGCGCCATCTGACTTAGAGTCAAAGCGATGTCGCCCAAGGTGCGGTCGTCGAGGGTCTGAGGCTGCCGAAGCTTGACAAGCGCCATATGCACCGGCTCATCCTTCTCTTCGGCCTGGTACTCCTCCTCGGGAAGCGGTTCGCGGGTGAAGACGGTGGGCTTGTAGAGATCGCCCAGGTTCACACCGGTTCGCAGCGAACCCGAGTCATTGTGTATATTCTCGCTCACCACCTCCCTGGCTTTGGCTGCGATAGCCGCCTTTCCCTTCTTAGGCGCATCGAACTGCTTAAGGAAGTTGCGCGCGTCGCGTTTACCGGGCGATTCCTTCAGTAGACGCGTCAACTGCTGACGTTCGGCACGCTGGCGCTCTTTCGCTGAGCTCGACGATTTTCGGACGTATATGGTGGACGTGGAGAGAGGCGCGAATTGGAGCTTGGTGAAGATGTTTCTGTTGTCATCGCGCCTGGGAAGCTGTTAATCGTCAGCACTGCTACAACTGCGCTTGAAGACGCCGCGCCCACCTTCTTCGTAGCCTTCCCCAAGCCCCTCGCGGGGGCTTTGCTCCAGATGAACATGCTTCATGCTACCGCTCAGCTGCCGAACATGCGAAAGGTCAAAATTGTGTGACTGGAGCTCGGAGCAGAGGTATGACTCTGCAAATGTGTGGGGAAATGTGCCCGCATCCGCATTTTCGAGGACTCAACATCGATAATGGCGTGCGAACGTCATTTGCTGGTAACCGACATCGGCCCGGTGTGGCCTTATCCCCGGGCTACTGGCAGATGACGATGATGAACACCATGACGAAGCGCTGACAAACGGTGCGCAAGGTACAAGCATAGATTTGTATAAGTTGTCGCACTTGGCATTGCCTCTTCGTAGAGAGCGAAAGGATACAGTCAGATCCCAGAAGAAATCATGGCGCCACAACTCGCTTGGATTGGCCTCGGCAACATGGGCAGGGTCAGTGAGGAAAGTCATCAGCTCGACCATGTCACTAACTGTCACAGGGCATGTGCAAAGTATGAAGCATCTAAGATTCTAAATTGATTTTCGTACTGACTCCACAGAACTTGGTGGAAAAGGGTAACCTCGATAAGCCCCTAATCCTGTTCAACCGCACCAAAGCCCGCTCCGAAGACCTCGCATCCAAACTCGGCAGCTCCAAGACCAAGGTTGTCGATACCATCAACGATGCTGTCAAACCTTCCGACATTGTCTTCATGTGCCTGGGCGACGATGCAGCCGTGAACGCTGCTGTTGACAAGATGCTCGAAGAAGATGTCAAGGGCAAACTTATTGTAGATTGCTCCACGGTACACCCAGAAACGACGAATGCTTTGGAGAAAAAGATCACCGAGAAGGGGGGTGAGTTCGTGGGCATGCCAGGTAAGTTACGCATGTGAAGATAGAAGTGCTCCCTCAGAACGGGCCTGACAACATCCCAGTATTCGGTGCCCCAGCCATGGCAGACAACGGCCAGCTTGTTTGTGTGACAGCAGGCTCAAAAGCGTCCTGCGACAAGGTAGTCCCGTATACGACAGGCGTGATGGGTCGTACGAACATCGATTACTCAGGCCAGCCAGCAGGAAACGCTACCCTCATGAAAGTCATCGGCAACACCTTCATTTTGAACATGGTCTCGCAGCTATCTGAAGGCCACGTCCTTGCCGAAAAGTCTGGTCTAGGGGTAGACAACCTCCACACATTCATCTCTACCATGTTTCCCGGTCCCTACACCGCGTACTCGCAGCGCATGCTAGCCGGCGACTACTATCAGCGCGAGGAACCTCTCTTCCATATCGACTTGGCACGAAAGGACGCAAGACATGCGATGTCGTTGGCAGAGAGTAGTGGTGCGAAGGAAAGTATGAAGATGCTAGGCTTAGCACAAGGGAGACTAGATAAGGTGAAGAGTGAAATCGGGGACAGAGGAGATATTCCGAGTGTTTACGGGGTTGTGAGGAAAGAGAGCGGCTTGGATTTCAAGAACAAAGATTAGATGGGCAAATCTTCCATTGCAGTTCTGGAATAATCTGTGGTTGTCACCATGCTAGGGTGCTCTTGGACGCCGTGTATGGTGATAGTTGCCCGAGCGGTACTGACTACGCTAATTGCGACTGCCGTTATTACAAGCATGGCTATCGCAACTTCTGCTCGACTTACTTTCCACAGAAAGCCCGATGCACACGCAATGTACCGCGGCTCTTCAACGCGGTTCAGACATGACGCGACATGTGCTGATCACTACCCGATCCAACCACCATCGATGCAGGCATTCGGTCTAACTCTGCCGAGGATGCATCATCTGTCAGAACATCCTCCCCAACGTCACATCACGCTAGACTCCTCAGCGTTAAAATCCCCAGGTTTTACCCCAGCTTCTCCCCTCCCCACTGCTTGATGAGGTCAAGCCTCACCTTGGCTGCAACGGCGGGTTCGTGGAATCACCCTCTGAGATCGAGTCTGTTCTTGCGAAACCTGGTCGCCGTGCACATGGCCCGGAAATCTTGCCGCCAGCTCACGTGGGTGACAGCAGGTACTTGAGGGCGTGAAGACCCTGCGGATTTACCTCATCGCGACTGCCTACTGTTGACTCCACTCAACTCAACCTCAATGCTCGAATCTTTCGTCCAGTCTACGACCTGATCGGCATTATCCACATACCAATCGCTAATCGGCATCTCTATCGTATCACAAAGCGAACATGGGGTTCCTTAAGAGACCCAAACTGCGCAGTCGCGATGACCAGAGGACGCGTGCCGCTGAACTCACGCTGCGCGAGTCCATCTACCCGCTCTGCCTCGTCACCATTCTATTTTTTCTCTGGGTGAGTCACGACGATGCCTTAAACCTAGTGTATTTGGCTGATGATCATAGGGATTCTCGTACGGTCTTATCGATACCCTCAACAAGCATTTCCAAGACGTTCTTGGCATAACGCGCGCTCGCTCTTCAGGCTTACAGGCAGCATACTTCGGCGCGTATCCACTTGCTTCCCTCGGTCATGCCAATTGGCTTCTGCGCCACTGGGGCTACAAAGCAACCTTCATCTGGGGTCTGACACTTTACGGCGTGGGCTCTCTTCTTGCCTGGCCATGTCTTGTATATCGTTCTTTCGGAGGCTTTTGTGTAGCCATCTTCGTCATCGGTAATGGACTAGGCTCGCTTGAGACAGCAGCCAACCCTTACCTGGCTGGTATGTATGAATCGATTGAATGATGGGGCCAGTACTAACGAAAGTAGTTTGCGGACCACCCAAGTATTCGGAGATCAGGATCAACATCGCGCAGGCTTTCAACGGCATCGGCACTGTGGTAGCGCCAGTTTTAGGGTCATATGTCTTCTTCAACAACGTTGGCACCGATCAAGCATCCCTTGAGAACGTGCAATGGACTTACCTCGGCATCGCATGCTTCGTTTTTCTCCTTGCGATCGTATATTACTTCACGGAGATACCCGAGATCACTGGTAAGCTTGCTCTTGAATGGGAAATGACCAGGTACTAACATCCACTAGATGCCGATATGGCTTTCCAGGCTGAAAGCACTCACGCTGGCACCGACGTAAAGCCTTTCCGCAAACAATACCGCCTATTCCATGCAACATTTGCTCAATTCTGCTACACTGGCGCGCAGGTGGCTATAGCTGGAGCCTTCATCAACTATGTCGTCGAGACACGGGTCATAAATGGACGCGAAACCGACAACTCGACAGCAGCTCGGTTCCTTGCTGGTGCGCAGGGCTGTTTCACCATGGGTCGCTTCATTGGCAGTGCCTTCATGAAGTTCGTCAAACCACGATGGGTGTTCCTCGCGTTCATGACGTTATGTATCATCTTCGTCATCCCGTCCATTACCGAGCGAGGGAATACCGGCATGAGCATGCTTTACATTGTGCTCTTCTTTGAGAGTATCATCTTCCCAACGATTGTTGCGCTCGGCATGCGCGGACTGGGCAAGTACTCAAAGAGAGGCTCAGGCTTTATCGTGGCTGGTGTATCTGGTGGTGCTGTCGTTCCTCCACTACTGTTCGGAGCGAGTGATACGCTAGGGAAGGCTAGGCCTCTGGATGGATATGCGCCCACCGCTATCGCCATGACCGTTCCGATGGCGTTCTTCATTGCCGCGTGGAGCTATGCTTTCTGCGTCAACTTTGTGCCAGCCTACCGTAATGTGGCAGATAAGTTCTCCACTGCTGAGATTGGCATTGAGAATGCGCATGCAAATGATCCCGAGCGCCAAATGCAGCACACGGATGGTGGTGTACTTGCTAAGGAGGAGTCCCCAACCCATACTGAGGCGGTGGACATCGACAGAAAGACATAGGATGACTCTCTTGTCGAAGTAGGCGAAGAGGAGGAAGCTGCGGCTGCAAGTGGGGCTAACGTTGATGAAGTACACGCTACGATTGCCGAGGATGCTCAAGTAGTTCAGGGGTCCTGAAGTCATCGTATTGCGACTTGCATGACAAGAAGAAGTGGTTCACTACGTCGTTATTCCATAAGTTACCGTCAACGCCATATACCTAGCAGTCGAAAGTCATGTGTACTACTGCATTGCTTCCATTGATGTTATCTACCAGCCACAGTACCAAATATCGGGTAGTGTGAAATGCTGTAAGTGTCCTGTACTCAACAATGTAGCTTTCCATCATTGTCCTATTTTCCTTCCCCCATTTCTTGGTCCTCGTCTTCACGCGACTTGTCCTCATCTGAGTCGTCAACTAAGATAGAATCCTCCATCGTTTGGCCTTTTATGATCATTTCTAGATCCCACTTCTGTTTGCCACGATACTTCCTCAAAAGAGCCGTTGTCAAATCCTTGAAGAATTCTGCGGGATACTCGTCTGTCTCATCGTCTTCGATCCAAGCAGCATCCGCTGTGTCTGCCCATAGTTGTACCAAGACCAGCCTTAGTGATGATCCTTTGGCTGTCTTATCGTAAGCGAGGCGGATGCTGTCCGGACCCGGATATTCATCAATCTCTTTACTAACTTCGACCAATCCCTGTATAATGTCTCGACAGAACTTCTTGCTCTTTAGTTTGAGTCCTAAAACGTATGCCTTAACAAGTTCATGTGTGTCAAGGGAGAATTTGCCATCTTCGTCCGCCCGATCTTCAACCGCGATATGATCATAGTAAAGCCACTCAACAAAGATTGCGAAGGCATCAGCGTCGATGGCGGAAAACTTATGTACTGTGATGACGTCGGTGTCATTCGACCAGCTGTGACGACAGAAAGGACAGTTGACTGGTTGATGAGCTGTCTGCTTCTCCGCCTTCCACTTCTCAATGCATCTGTGGTGAAAATTGTTACCACAATGAGTAGCGCAATAAGTAAGCTCTTGTATGCCGTGTTCGAGCGGTTCCGTACAGATCGCGCATTCACTGTCTTTCTTGAGAGGTTTGCGCTTCGGTTGTAGCTTTTTCGTGAAGAATGTGGATCTGCTGCATATGATGTCTTCGGGGACAGTGAACTCCTCGCCGCGTGAAACTTGGACGCGGACGATTTTGTGGCCGAACCTAGAAGCGCGTCAGGGGTTGGTGTTATAATCATCACAGAACACGTGCCGGATAGCTCGCTTCTTCCTAACGCTGATGCGTTTCTCCTGCTTGGACATCTTTCCTGGTCCTGGCATCTCCCGCTACTTGGAAGGCGCGATGGCTTGATAAGGTCGTTCTTGGTCGGTTCTCTGGTCGAGTTGTGAGCATTGGTCGGCAAGCCGATGAGGCTAGTACCTATGGGTGAGTGGTATTCTATCGTTCAGTTACACTATGTTGCTTCGTTAAATGCAGATCCGTGCGCAACACGCAACCGGTAGGCGTGCCTGGGGCCCTAAGAACTTGAAGAGCTGAGGCCCCGAGTGTTCTCAAAGTGAAACCTGTTGTGATTCACGATAGCGAATGATGGGTCGGGGTAAAGATGTGATGTACACAGTCGTTCGATTGTCTTCGTTTCGAGCTAATGCAGTTCGATTGGGCGTAAACAAGCATCAAACCTCGTCTATCGTGTTTGGGTAGTGTAAGTCCCGAATGCCAGGTGCAAGTCATCAGAATGAAAAACAAGAAGACAGGAGACTCCCAGTGCCGTCACGAACGCTCATCCTTTCGACCTGTATACAACCAGTCCGCCGTCGTCCGAGTCATCGGAAAGAGGCATGGAGCGGACATCTTGCTTCAGCCGACGCTTCGCACTATGTGTATGCTTCCTCACTTCGACCTTTTGACTTGGACGCTTCCTGGTTGCTGGTACTTCTATAGCTCCAGCTTTGGGACTATTCAGACCAACAGCTGGATTCTTGCCTTGCAGACTTCGCGATGCTGCTGACGCCAAACTCGTGCTGCCGCCTACAGGCGCAGTATCTTCGTCATCGCTCGTCAGATCCACTTCTACGCTCAGCTTCTCCATCCACATCTTCCTTGTCGTTCTGCCATCTTTCCTGTCTCCCCACCGGACCATGGCTGCATCTGCTAGCTCACTCACGAAGGCCTCTGGCCAGCTCTTGCCCTCGCTCTTGAACCAACCGGGCTCGATATAGGCAAGCGATATGTCGATGACGAAAGCTCGAATTTCGTCATCGCACTTACGCTCCACGAAAGCCCACTTCACGCTCTCTTTCCAGAAACGCGCGCGAGCTTCTGCGAAGTAAGTGGCAATGACTTGCGACTTGAACACTGGATCTTCGACGGCGTTGGCAACAGTCCAGAGTTTGAGGATGACAAGATTGAAGGCATCGTTAATGCGAGAGACCTTTGCGGATATGTGTAAAGTGGAGGTATACAGCCAGTCCAGGTAGATTTGCGTAGCCTCAGCGTCTAGCTCAGACTCTAGGTCTAGCTCCTTGGGTAGTGACTCGTTCTTCCAGCTCGCACGACACATCGGACAGGTCGGGATTGACTCCTTCTTGAGACTGGTAGTCGATGAGCGCTTCCAGGCTTCCATGCAGACTTCGTGGACATTTTGCCCGCACTTGGAGCAGAAGGAGATGTCTCCTATCATAGCGTTGAGAGTCTCAGCGCAGACGCAACATTCATCAATGCTGAAGATGGGCTTTCGGTTTCTCTGGAGGCGGTCTTTGAAGAATCGAGAGGTGTTGCAGATGAGGTCTACGGTAAACGAATGGTGTTAGTATGTTGGACTCCTGAAATGGCTTTATGTGTTGTTACCTTCATGTACAGTGAAGCGGCGATCAATATTGGGGGCCTTGAAGCTTATGATTCTGTTGCCCACACTGCGCCATATCAGCAAGTTACATGTGGTATAAGAGGGACGGAGTGACGTACATAATGGGCCCCAACTTCTTGGTCGCTCCTCGAGATTTAGTGATGGTCATCTGCACAAATGGTGATCTTGTAGAATGAGAATGTTGTAAGCTGAAGGGCACGGAAGACACGACCTAGATAGAAGTACTGCAGACACGAGAGGGTGAGAGCCGGGCCGTGCGCACCTCGTCATGGAGCGGTGACGGTACCTCAAGGTGAGAGAACCGCCAAGAAGCATTCCAGTATCCGAGCAAGGCGAGCATGACAGTCGTTTTGAAGGCAGCCAATACGTTTTCCGAATAGAGCGAACGTTATAGTCGTACCTGCACCTTATACAAGAAAAAAACTGAACAGGTCTGCAGACTACATTAATACAAGAACTTGCAAAGCAGGTGACCTAACTTTTACGCAGGCTCTGATTGTGTATATTTGTCCTAGGCTGGCGTGCCCGCGAAGAATTGTATATCTCTTGTGTGTGAATGGATCAGCCGACGTGGTCGAGAAAGCCCAGCCGGATGACAAAGACATCAATTGATGTGAGACATGATACTCCATGGCGCCGATCGAAAGGATGAAAAGCGTAAAACAAACTCTTCAAATGGGTATTCTGCTCATCACCGTCCTCTGCTGGTGACTCCAGACACGGTATACATCATAAGCTATGTAGCTTTGTCATAGCCAAATTCCACGCCGTCTTCCAACGCCGTCGAAATGCCGCCAGTGCCGAATATTACGCGTTTTCTGCTCAGCGAAAGGCCGTAGACGATCTGGTCCTATACGCCAATGTACCACAGCTCAACGCCCATGACCTCGAATTTCTTGCCATCGTCACTAAGGGGCTCGTTGCCAAACGTCGGGCACGTATCGGAGACGCCCTTTTCGAGGTTGTCGTCTAGCCATAGGCCATAGTGACCGTCACTGCGACACCGTCAGTCCACTGAGTCCTTAATGATAACAACACGCTGCTACTTACCCGCCGCCAACACTCAGGTAGCTATGCTCGCAAAAGATCATATAGTCATTCACCCCGCTGTAGGGGAATGCCTTGAATCTTATTCGTTCTGGCGTGCTCGCACCACTCTTACTGGCCCGACCGTTCTGTGGGGGTGCTAGCGAATCGCCCTTCCTCTTCGGTGAAGATATGGTTGTCATTCGCACAGCGTCCGTCGTATCTTCGGATGGGGGTGGTGGGAGGTTCATCTGCAGGTCTGAGAAACCTGAGAGTATGTGCGCGCGCCAGAGGAAGCATTCGCCGTTGCCGTAAAATGATGTGGAGGGCCGCGGTGCGTCGGAGAGATATGCGCCGAAGATCTATAGCGCTACGTAAGCATTCGCCCTGGGGTTGTCCTGACGTTCGCAAACTTACACCTCCGCTGCCGTCTTTGACCACTAGTACAAAGCCACCTCTCTTGCCCAGATAGTCTTCAGATTGCTTGTATAGTGTGCCTAAGCTGACACCGTTCTGTTCCAGACTATATGCCAGACTCCACTCATCCACTAGTTGTAACCTTGGTGGAAGCAGGAGCCGGATCTCTTCAGCAAGCGCCGTGCTTAGAAGCTTGCCCTTCTCTCGCATGTTGCCTCCCCATCCTCTCAGACTTAGCGGTGTCAAGGGAGGCGGTTGGAAAGGGCTCGCTATCCGATGTGGCGGCTGGTAGACCGAATTCATATCTGATGTGGTGGAGGAGACAAGGTTCGCAAATGTGTGTGAAAGTGAAGATGCGGTGGACTGCAACTGGGCTTGTATGTTGCTTGCGCTGTTACGGTTGCTGTTGTTCTCCGATCTCGATTGCGCGTCTGATTTGGGAATGGCGTCCGTGTTCAAGCGTCGCAGGATGCCCGAGACTGCATAAGAGACGGGATAGGTGAAATATGAGGACGAGCGGTTGGGTGTAGAGCGCTGCGATGGCGGTGAGGTTTGCGACGAAGGCGAGCGGAACGGGGAAGAGGACGGGGTATCTGGTGGGTACGACATGAGCGGCAACTAATTGCGATGGGAGTAATGTTCCTGAATTAATGTGGGTCGCGTGTTGGAGGTGGTGTGCTGGGGCTGTCGCAGGGCAGAGTAGCTGTGACGTTGCGCAAAATTAGTGGGCTGACAGCTGCTTGGAGCCTCACAACACCACCAGGATGGGACGTGGCTGTTACATAAGCAGGCTTGTGGTTGCGGTGAATGCATATCCGAAGGCTCTGATGAGCGCATACTAATACAGGACATGTCGGCGATGTATGCTCTGTGATTGCTTCACCCTCTGGCTCCGCGACGTGTAGCTTGCGGAGCCCTGACCGCTTTAGCTTGCTAGCGTGTCGCGCGAAAGCTTGATCTCCGCTACCCGGTAGGGCTGACCTCGCGTATTCATCGTGCATTCAAGCCAGGATCCCCATTGTCAGTCGAAAACTCGAGGATGTTTGTGGTTCAGATAGTAATGCTCGGTCCTGGCGGTGGTATCTCTGCGCCGTGATAGTTAACATGTGTCATCCCCGCGACCCAGAGTCGCATTTCTCATGGCATGCATCGGCTCGAGAAAGTAGCGAGAGTTCCATTCTTGATTGAATGCTACTAGTGTCGGCATCTCTACACTCTCAAAATGAAGCCCCAGACGGTCTATGTAGTCTCGGCGTCTGCCTCCTTTGTCGCTTCTGCGAGGTCTCGATCCAAATGCTCATTTCCCGCAGCATCTGCGTCTTCTTCCCCGTCGTCTCCGTCGCTCTTAAGCTTAGCACCTTTTCTTTCGGGCATGACCGCCATGAACGCCTTGCCCCAATCCCCAAACTCCATCCACTTGAGCATAATCTCTAGCACATGGTTCGTGACCAATACTTGCCGGCTTTTCATCTCAAGGTATTCGCCAATAGGTAGCTTTGCAGTCTTGATCCCACGGTTCACGGCGCGCTTGTGACATATGCCTTTGTGTCGGTTCTTGTCAACCAGTCCACCGATAATGTATGTACTGTTGGGCTTCAAGTGAGTTAGAACGTTGTCAGACTCAGATGAAAGATAGACGACTTCGCCTTCCTCTGCTGCAGCATCAGGTTGTTCTTGATCGCCTGATCCAGTGGCTTCTGCTGATGTCTTCAAGGCGCCGAGAACTTCTCCCCCGTTTGGCCCTGACATCCACGCCTTCGCTTTTTCGGAAACCTCAACGAAATCTTCTTCGAAGAACTGGAACCCCTTCCAACTCGTGTACTGCTTTGCTAGAATGCCATCGAATCGCTCCTTCATCTTTCCACCGAAGCTGCTCAAAGCTAGATGGGTCCTGAAGTTCGCCTTTCGGTTATCGCTGTAACACCTCGTAATCTGAAGTCCCAAGCTCTTGAGCTCGTTGTCAAACATCAGCTCTTCGAAATCGCAGTCGAAGATTACTGTTATTGGTACTTGTTTTCCAGTTGCCTGCCGAGGAGGTCGCGAAGCTGGCGGCCTTGGTCTCTTGCCATTCTCGTCGGTAGGCATCTGCGCCCACTCTTCTCGCCTTCGCTCTTTCTTCTCTTTGACTTTCTCTTTTCGCTTGAGTTTGCGATCTTCGCGACCGGCTTCCCAGCGTTCGAGCCGCCTTTGCTTTTTGAGCTGGTTTTTCGATAACTTTGGCTCCGCATTCTCACTCCCAGCCGGTGTTCCGACAGATTCTACGGCGTCGGCTTGATTGCTGTTTTCCGCTGCGACAGGTAGTTGTTCGTTTGGTGTCGGAATGGCAGGTGTTTCTGCCACATCCTCAACGCTATCCGCATGCTCTAGCTTGCGCAACTTCGCAGGACGCTCTTCGGAATCCATCTTCGAATGAGGTTTCGTCGGTTCGTGAAAGTCAAGGGTGATGCCTCCCACCCACTCAGCGTCGACAAAATTATGCTCACTCACTTGCTAGCGCGCCAAGCCAGATCCCTGTCATCGCGGGTTCCCGAGCTCGAACCTCACTGCACGTCTCCGCATCGACGACAACTTCGAATACCCATTGAGCCACGAATAATCGCCCAACATGCCGCAGGATATGCCGCCATCGGGCGGCTACAGCCCCGTACAATACAAGCGCAACCTGCCCGTACGAGGCTTCCGCCCCGCCGCATACCTCTTCGGAACCGCGGCACTCATGACCTACGGATTCTGGAGAGTCGGACAGGGTATCAGAGAGCACAAGTACGCGCCTGCCGTCGGGAGGAGACTTCCGAGTCTGGAGATATATGAGCGAAAGTGCTGACAAGTCGCAGCGAACTCGCGCGCGAGAAGATGTGGGCGCGGATACACCTCATCCCCGCGCTGCAAGCCGAAGAAGACCGCGATCAAGTACGAAGGCACCTCGCAGATAAAGCGAGAGAGAAGGAGCTACTCGGCACAGAGACCAGGGTCTACAACAGCGACAGGTATGGTTTGAAGACTTGGCTTTGTAGACAACTTTGGCTAATTCACCATGGCAGATTCGTTCGCCCTACCTTTGCAATCACGCCCGAACACGAGACGAAATAGACTTGCATACCGCGCTGGAATTGTACATATAAATTCACAAATCGTTGGCAGGCTAAGGAAACGCTGTCTCCAAATGATATCTTTCGTTGTGTTTGAAACTGTGACGCGACGTACATTCCGAGGCTTCAAACGGTGAAATGTCGCTCCGAGAGAGCCGTTGCGCGTATACATCCCGAGATAGGGTGGTTTCGAAAGTGCTGAGGAGAGGACACCCTGTGATAGGCTTCCAAAAGTGTGGTTCACAATACGTTGCGATTCCTTGGGTTCCACTGGACCCGTGAAAGTGACACCCCACCCATTGTATCGTGCACTCTCCCGCGCGTCGAAACGCGCCACCTGGACCAGGCAGTGCGCCTTGTCGTCAACTGCGCCCAGCGCCTACAGCCCTTCCATATTTCAACTCTACTAACCCTCCCAACCGTTCGCTGTATCTGTCCATAACCGACCCTCGCCAGCCGGCGCAACCTTTGGCGACGACATAGCGCAATGCCTTTCATCACCAACTTGTTCGGTAGCCTGAAGAATGCGACGCCTGTCGATACAGGCACCTTGCCACGCGCAGATGACAATGGCACGCCCGATGGAGCCGACGAAGACTGGGATTTTGTAACAGCG